CAAGGTTCATCACACTTTACTCCCTTATACACATCCGCACACACACACACACATAGATGCACACAGACGTACCAAGAGACAAACACATATTCACAAATGCACACATTCACGCACACACGAACCGATTTGCTGCTGGTGGACGTCAGCATGTCAGCCAGAAAGTGGAGCGAAGAGTCTGTTCGATTCGGAACTTGTAGGCAGCCTCCAGATTCACCTTTGCGTGGCAGAATAAAATTCGCTTCTTATGATGTTGATACATTCGATATATTTTCATGCCAGCAGCGCTGGTGGATCGTAGAATCTGGTAAACAGGAAGCTGGACAAGACCTACACGGTAAAGTCTATCCTCTGGTTTGCTTGGAATGTCATCCGACCCGACAGAAGAGCATCTTCAAGGCAAGAGCGGGGTCATTCACAGAGTTCTTTCAAGTCTACAAGACTGTACTTGAGCATGAGCATGTTTGTATATCAAGAAAATATACAGCAAAAAAGAGTTAGGCAGACTAGCGTAGAAACTATTCGCAATAGTTGCTCCATTCAAAGTGGACGTGATTGCAGAATCGAAATGTTTGTAAGCTAATGGAAAATATGTGCTGACATGTCTGAAGGTGGTAAAATAAAAAACCAAATATTCGAGCATTATACTGCGTTAGATATCCTAAAAGAAACGAAACTAACGCTTTGTTGTCAAGCTGTCCTCAACACTACTCACAAAAACATTTCATTTTGACGGTAAAATGAGGTGAATATGGAAGGATTTGCAAAAAAATATAAATGGGTGCTGAAGTAGGGCCTGGCAGTCGAGCTGCATTCTGCGTGGGATTACCTCTTAAAAAGAAGTAACATCTTTAATATCAAGAGATTCTTCATACTACTCACAATATCGACTTCATTTTGAGGGCCAAATCAGATGAAAATATGAATATATGTGAAATAGTCGAAATGTGTCAGCGTTCTTAAATAAAACCTAGTATATAAGCTGTTGAATTTTCCCACAATCATATGAGAAGATATAACGTTCCCGTAGCTTTCCCAAAAGATATTCTCATCCAGGGTGGACAACACCCCTAACGGCGCTTGAACCATGACAGTACAGAATATAATCTCGACATGTCAACCCCTGCGCCACATTGCCATGAATACCCTTGGGTCAGAGGGCAAATGTGAACTTCAAGGAAGGCCAGGCATTTTTTCATATCACATTCTCCGATAGGGCTGTCGATAGAGCATAATTATATTTGCTAAAGCAATCGACGATACTACTTATATTTCATTTCGAGTAGATTTTCTAAACGAAGTCTAAGTAGCGTAGTCGACTGCTATGGCAAGGGCACTTGTTGCAAACTGGCGCATTGGTCAACGTGTCGAGATGATACGCTGCACTGTCATGGTTCGGGTCTTGTTAGGGTGCTGATAGGACCTAGGCGAGGTCAAAACTGCAGTCCACTTTTGGGAAAATTCAACTACCAGTCCTTCATCACCTGAAACGGAATAATTTGATTTACTGGTAGTCAAGACGACCTATTCTGAACAAAGTATAAAATCTAGTAGCCGAGCCTCATTCTGTGTAGGATTGCCTCTTACAAATAAATCAGAGCTTAACCATCATACTACTCTCCATATTACTCACAATATTAGCTCCACATTAAGGCTAAAATTAGGTGAAAATGGAAATGATAAGCTGTTCTGGGTCACTTTTTTAATGCAAAGCCTAATAGTCGAACTTCATTTAGTTAAGAATGTATCTTTAACAGGGGCCTTCAAAAAACATCACTTGACTTGTGAGAATCTGTACAAATCTCCCTTGGTAAACCTTAGGAAAAAATCATCCATTCTTGTCGTGTCGATTCGGACAGATTATTTCACCCTCTACAAATTGTTATGTCTATGGTTTATGTGAAAGATTTACTTCCAAAAAACGTGTGAAAATGTGTATGCTGCTGCGTATGAGCTGACGAAATGATGAAAACAAGGCAGATTGGTCACTGGAAACCAGAAGAGGTGTGCTGAGGACTTGGTCGTCGATAGGTTTCCAATAAACCATTCTCTTCAGAGTCCACTTTAAAAGCAAGAGATGTCACAGCTGCAAGGTATGCGGTAGAACGACCCAGTTCAGTGGAATGTAAGAGTGGAAAACTTCCAAACTGTAGATACGAAGAGAAACTTGGTTTCGATGAATCTCCTGAGATAACATTGTTAGGGGGAA